ATGTTTGACGAAACATCGGTCTCTGATTCAACAATATTTAATATTTATTTATGAGTCTATGGATAAATGGACCTATGGATAACATCTTACATATTGAAAGACTGCTATAAAAGATTTGTTATATATTTTTTTGCCTATTTCATAATTTCAAATAAAATGACTGAGTCCTATGAAAGCATCAATATTGATATAATTTTTAATTATGTCATTTCATATCTAAAAAATAAGAATAAAATATATAATTACTACGGTAGCTTGTTTGCAGTTTTTACTCACAAAAAAGATAATAGAAATAAGCCCTTTGTAATCTATTATATAAAAATAAGTCGAGTTTTCTGCGCGGATCAAATAACTCCAGAACGCACGAACCGATTTCCACGGTTTTGCATTCGTTGGAAAGGTCTCGGAATTTGTGATTTTTTGCAGTAAAGAAAATTCAGGAAAAATTGCAACAGAAAGCGGGAAAATCATTTTTGCATAAAGCGCCAACACTGACACATAGCATGCCATAATTCATTACTCTGTTTATTTTATGAGACAAACCGAAATTGTGTTCAATTTTGAGAAAAATAAGTTATTCGTTTCCTAACTGCAATTGGAAACCAGCTTTTGTCTTTAAGGTGGTAAGTTGAACTGTGTAAATTATGTGGACTTGAGGTTAAATTAACCACTCTGCCTATAGACCCAGATCATATACATAACTCCAGAATGCACCAACCGATTTTCACGGTTTTGCAAAAAAAAAAAGTTATTCATTTCCTAACATTTCAATTGGAAACCAGCTTTTGTCTTTAAGGTGGTAAGTTGGACTGTGTAAATTATGTGAAATTGAGGTTAAATTAACCACTTTGCCTATAGTTAAAAATGCCTATAGCACGACGTGTGAACATCGGTCTCCGCACAAGGCATGCAATCCAGCAACAAGTGTGATAACAGAACTTAAGCGAGGAGAGACGAAATGTAGTAAGGGAAAATGCCCGATTGAGACAACGCGTGGGCACACGAAGATCAACTGGTGTGCAGCATCTAAGCGGATCGCAACCAGCGTGGCAGGCTCCTAACAGCAGCCTTCCTCGACATAGCCATCGACCTCAGGACAAATTTCAAGAATCCTGAGATAGAGTGCTAGAAAATATTCGTTATCCGAAGGTGTCGCGGGTGAGACCGTGCCCCCGGTGTTGCCCATATCCGTTTTGTCCACTGGAGGGTCCCAACAATTGTCCTCTCAGAGCCCCAGTTCCCTACCAGGGTGTCAGGCCCGGACTACCGGCCGAAATTGGTAAGGCGGATAATCAGCTTACCTTGAAAAAAACCCCTTATGGCAATACCACCAACGAGACAGTTTCATCTTTCCTCCATTGTCGGAACTTCCTATTTATTGAAACCATCTTTCCACTATTCAGTTGGTCTCTAAAAGACTTTCGGATAGGGACCACTTAGTAGTTCTAGGTGATTTTAACATCCCAGGGGCTCTTTGGTCCCTAGATAATTCCATTAACCACAATACATCACAAAAAATGTGGTTTACCAAAGAACACTTCAATTAAACGGATAATTTGCCGAAGGTGGCGTAACGGAGTTCGCCTGGCTTACTAGTTTATTATAAAGTTCATCGATGCATCGAACATCGATGTTATTTTTAGCGCTATTTTCCGATGTTTTTTGATACCGATGTTAAGTTATACATCGATGGTCTATTTTGAAAACATCGACGGGCATTGACATCGATGTTTTTTATCGATCTTGCACTACACCGAACCAAAAATATTTAAAAAATTCAAAATGGAACGGTTTTTAGTATAAATCATTTTAGTAAAATGAGCTACTTTGGCTTAAAAAATAGACACTTCGACGAATTAAGTTAAACTTTTATCAACAAACATATTCTAAATAAAGATAACAAAGCTTTCCAGAAGTAAAAAGTTAACAGGTCGATAAAATTTTTAGAAAATAATTCACTATTTGCCATGTGTGCCAATAATTTTGTTCAGGGAAATGTAGCGGTTTTTTTAAATTTTAAATTTTTATAAATTAATGGAATGATATACAAAAATAAAATTAAGTTCATTTAGTTGGAAATTGATCAAAATATTTAAATCAAATTTGATTCAAGTAAATATTTCTATGTTAAATGAAGAAAAACGGTGGCAAAAATTAAGTTCGCCACTGTATGTCGTTAGTAGTTTGGCGGAGATATGTCGCTTGCAAACGACATAACTCCGCGCGGAGATATGTCGTTTGTAGTTCGGCGGAGATATGTCGCTTTAAAGCGACATAGCTCCGCGCGGAGATATGTCGTTTTTAGTTCGGCGGAGATATGTCGTTTTAAAGCGACATAACTCCGCGCGGAGATATGTCGTTATAAAACGACATAGCTCCGCCGGAAAAAAGCGACATAAGTCCGCCCGAAAAATGTACCGGGCGGAGATATGTCGTCGGACTTATGTCGCTATGCCACAAGGAGTCAACTTCCGCTGGATCAAGAAGATGCTCCAGAAGATGCGGACAGAACCCGCCAAGTTCCCCGACTACAGGGAGGAGAACGGACAACTCTATCGCCGCATTGGTCTTCAGCCAGAAGAGGAGGAGTACACGCCATGGAAGCTGTGCGTTGGGTCGGATTACCGCCAACGCGTCCTCGAGGAATGCCATGACCATCCAACCGCCGGACACTTGGGAATCCGGAAAACTAGTAATCGCGTGGCTCAGCGATACTACTGGCCGGGTTTATTCCGCGACGTCGCGCGCTATGTTCGTCACTGTACGAGTTGCCAGAAGTTCAAGGTAAGCCAGGAGAAACCTGCGGGGATGATGTTCACCCGCCAGGTCGACGAGCCATTCCAGATTCTCTGCGCGGACTTCGTCGGACCGCTTCCCCGATCTAAGCAAGGCAACACCATGCTGTTGGTGTTTTTGGATGCCTTCAGCAAGTGGGTGGAGTTGGTGGCACTGCGGAAAGCCACTGGAGCACAGCTTGAACGCGCCTTTCGGGAACGGATCCTGAGCAGATTCGGAGTGCCGAGGACCTTCGTCTGCGACAACGGCACGCAGTTCACAGGGCGATCTTTTCAGAATTTCTGCAAAACGCTGGGCATGGAGCTGCAGCACACGGCGCCGTATACGCCAAGGCAGAACCCGACGGAGAGAGCCAACAGGACGATCAAGACGATGATCGCCCAGTACCTGGATGAAGGCAGGCAGAATACATGGGACCAGTTGTTGCCTGAAATCTCCCTGGCCATCAACAGCAGTGTCTCCGACACGGCAGGATTTAGCCCAGCCTTCCTGACGCAAGGGCGAGAGCCGAGGCTGCCCCGGACTTTATACGACGAGCTCACGCCAGGACGAGGCACCCCAGAGGTGGCCCCAACAGACCGAAGCCAGCAACTGAAGGACATCTTCCGAGTTGTGCGAGACAACGCCGAGCGCGCTACGGCAGATCAGGGCCGACACTACAATCTGCGCCGACGGACTTGGAAGCCGCCTGTAGGATCTCTGGTGCTGGTGAGACCCCACGCACTCTCCAACGCGGCTGAAGGATTCGCCGCCAAACTGGCCGCGAGATACGAGGGACCCTTCCGAGTGGCGAAGTTCCCTTCACCAAACATCGTCCAGCTACACGTACCCGGCAGCCGCCGACGTCGTACTGCGAGTTTGGGACAGCTGAAACCAGAGTTGCCGTTTTAGGGTTTTTCCCCCCAGATTTGGGGGTTTTTTGAACTGCGTTTGCGGGAAAAAATGTAAAACAGCGGGAAGACGCTAATTTAGCTTTATTTCAGATCGAGTTAGGGTTTTTTTGCGTTTTTTATGCATCAAATTATATTTTCATACATTTGCGTTTTTTCAAGCTTTTACAGCACTTAATATATCGACATGATATCGATATGAATTCTTACAACTCTTGTCTCGTGGTGTGTGAACTATAAAGCGAAAAATAGTGGTTTAAAGTGCTTTACAAGTATTGTCGTTGCCGTAGTCTAATGCTGAGGTTGAGCGAGTGATTAGCCAGGTCAATTTGGTTAAATGCAAACAGAGAAATCGGTTGAATATTGACACATTAAACTCAATTTTAAGCATCAGGTAAAATGACTTAAATATCTTAAAAATATAAACTACATTTAGTCACCATTCCAGATCAGGTTTGCAGCGTCTTGGCAAGCGGTGCCACAACTATAAATTACCACAAAATGTTCTAAAGATGATCGGAACATCTAAAAATAAGAATGTTGACGAAGAGGCAGTCGATATAGACGAAATTATTAAAAACTTTGAATAAAATGACTTTAAAAATATGTAGGGTTTTTTTTTAGCTTTTTTAAAAGGATTATTGGGGTGTTTGGGTTTTTTTTTTGCCAATCTAGCGTTTTTTTCGGGAAAAATTATGGCAACACTGGCTGAAACCCTACCGACAGGGAGAAGCAGATGACCACGCCGAAGGCGCGATCGATGACAGCGACTACGAGGAAAACCACGCCGAGGACACGCACAGCCCAAAGCAGTCAGACGCCACCGACACGAGCCCTGGGGAGAACCGCCCCACTCCACGCCGCCGCCACTAAGCCACGCCCAGATCGAAAGATGGCCATGTTCAGAGGGGCCACTTGCTGACAGGCGCGCCTGTCCAACGCTCCTACCCCCCTAGGGGGGAAACATGGGCCCTCGCTTTCGCAAAAACTTAGAAATCGAGCAACTCTCGGTTGGGTAGGGTCCTTCGAAAGCGCCCCCCTAACAACGCCGTCTCTTTTGCTCTTTTCTCTCCACAGACACATCGATCACCACGCAGCACGAACGCACACGGTGCACCAGACTGCGGCAGAGCAACATCGCTAACAACAGCAACAGAGACGCGACCCACCGCCCACAGGCAACCACCAGCGAGCACACGCCCGCATCCTCGAGGATCCAGCGCACGGCAGCGCTGAACACACGCGCTTCGCATCTCGCCCACAATCCCGAGCACGGCCGCATCGCCACCAACCCGGACCAGCCATCTCGCCACGATGTCAAGCACCATTTCATCACCCAGGGACGACGCCTGGATGGGGCTCGCCCTTGAGGAGCTGCTGGATGGTCTCCAGATGGGGCATCGGCCCCAACCTTCACTCCTCGCGCCACTCCATGTGGCCGGAGGCCGCAGACAAATCCCGTCCGCAGAGCAGCTAGACGTCCCGCCATATCACCGATTCGGCCCAATACGGGTGGACACCACCCCGCCACGACCACGGCCAACCGAGGCCGCCCACACGCCTGCCGACCAGGGCAAGCAGCCACTCGCGGATCAGGGGCCGCCGCCTTTGGTCCCGCTACGCACAACCCGGGCTCCATCGACCCAAGCCACCCAAGGGCAAGCCCCAGGAGGGAAGCCACCGCCACGGGAGGCACCACACACCAGCCGGCTGTCCACGACGCCTACCACACCCACAACCCAGCCAGCGACTCAGGCCACCCAAAAGCAGGCTACAGGAGGGAAGCCATCACCACGGGCAGCACCTCGGGCAGTCGGCTCATCGACGCGCCCACACACCGGTCGGGTGTCCACGACGCCTACCGGCAATCAGGGGCAGCCACCACGGGAAGCACCACGAGCAGCCGGCCCATCGACGCGCCCGCACACCGGCCGGGTCGCCACGACAACTACCGGACACGAAACCCCATCACTTCGGCACGCTCACGCACCGGCCCGACTCCAACAACGCCTGGGACACGCGCAGTCCAGACCATGGCACCGCTGGTCCCGTCAGGGGCTTCAGCGGCACCAGATCCAGACGGCGAGGTGGAAGCGGCGCTACGAGAGTGCCTAGGCGACCTTCCACCCGACGTGCTGGAGGAGATGGCCCACGGGGCAGAGGGTTTGGACCTGGAGGACCTTTTCGGGGAGTCTCCCGACGAGGACGGAGTAGAGCTCCCAATGCGCCCCGCCTCCGACCAATCCGTCGACGAGCCACGGACACCGTCACCACAGTTCCTTCCGGACTACGAGGTGATCTCCACGGATGAGATCATCCAGATCTCCGACGACGCCGAGCCAAGTTTTAGACCGCCGAGCACCCCGCCGCCGGCGTATGAAGACATTTTCGGGCCGGGTCCATACGCCACCCGCTGCCCGATAACCACCTGCGCGGCCTCGTCACCGAGCCAGTCACCGCCGACCACGTCACGCGGATACCACGCCGCCGTCGCCCCACGCCAGGTGGATGGACCATCGACAAGCCAACACTTTGACTTGACGACCGACGAGAGGCCAGCCGTGGCCGTACCAAGCCGCCCCCCGCTACCAACACCCGGCGAATACGCCGATGCAGTGGCTTGACGCAGGGCTGAGGACCTGAGCGAAGAGCTGAGCTCGTCCTCCGCCGGGCCGGTTCGGCCAATCAACCCGGAGCCACATTCGGCCAGGGACCGACCACCCACACCAGCACCGGCACGCCGAGGCCGCCGACGGAGCGCGCCCTGGGCGGACAGCCCCAGCGAATCCTCGTCCGAGGAGGAGTTGCCACGCGATCGCCAAGGTCACACCCGCTGGCTACCCGTTCCCGACGGCTGGAGCACACCCAACGGCACGCTACCCGCCGGGCTCATCAGACGAATCCAGCAGCGACTCCTAATAGCCAGACCGACGCTATCTGGAGGAGGAACAGGGTCAGCGATTCCGGGTGCAACTAAACCGGGACAACCACGTCCGGGTCTTCCTACACCCCACCCGGAAGTAAGGAGGGAGTGTGACGACACGACTGGTCGCCACAACCTTATATATATATGTAAATAATACCCTTCAATTTAAGCTTAAAACTACTTATGTAAACTACTAATGTAAATACCTAAAATTAAGACTAGAATTACACACACACACACACACACCCACACACACACCACCCGTGGGGTGTATACATACCAGTGAACGTTGAGGTTGTGTTTCTGACCGCGCCCCGTCTGATAATCCTTTCTTCGGTCGGTGCCGTCGTGTATCTAGCCTGAAAAGTATCCAAAGTGTAGTGCGAGGCTCCTAGTACCCTGGTACGTACCTGGTACTGCTCCTGGGTCGGCCCCCGTAGTCTTCCCCGGTCGCCAAACCAACCTGGGCACTTGACCCACAGGGGGACTCGAGGTAAGGGGAGGGGGTGACTTCTCGCCTCTCCTCCGCACAAACGCCTTTCCGCTCTCACTTTACTTTCTTCCTCACACCTTCCACAAGTCGCATTTCCCCGCGTTTTTCTTTCCAAACGTAAACACAGCTGATCGCTCTAAGATCCCAGTGTTGTTAAGCGCCAGTGGAGGAGCTTCTTACAGCCGCGCTTAACAGCACAAGCATTACCAGTGTTGGAAAACGCACGTTGCTAAGCTTTCCCGCCCTATTATCTTTAATAAAAAAAAAAACATTGGTGCGCATAAATAAATTGTTTGTTTACTTATTTTAATAAACAAAGTTTATTTCCCTGAGGCTGCGCAGTCGGCTGGCGGGAAAAGGTCACGGAGCCGACCAAAATCCGATCTCCCGCGCAAGCGGTGTCCCGAGCAAGGGACGTCGGGGACTGAGAAGGGGTGGTATAACCCCCGTCGCATAGCCAAGGGGAAATCTTTGGCCAGCGTGGGAGCCCTGCGCGGACCGACAAGCCGGCCATGGAGAATGATGAAGATCCCTTTGCGTGCGGCTCGACTCTAGCGAGGCCGCCCCGCCAAGAGAGGGAAGGGGATGAAGCAGAGGCCTTCAGGAGGAGCGGCAAGGTCTCCCGAACGCCCACAGCGCTGGAACCCCTAGAAGATGGGCGGAGCCCTGGGTCAAGCTCTACGCCGCCCCCCCAAGAGGACGCGGGATCCTGCGAGCCCGACCAGCTCGCAAAGAACTCCGCCGGCCAAGAAGAGCAAGGCGTCAGAGGAGGCAGCCAGCCTGCAGGATCTCCAGGAGCTGGGGAAGCTGCTGCAGGAAGTCTCCACGAAGATGATAGATAAGACGACGCGCCACATCACCGTCTCCACGAGGGAGCTGTTTGCCAAAATGAAGGCGCTACATGCGAGCATTCTGGCGGCGAGCAGAGCGGCAGCCGCGGGTACCAAAGAAAGGCAGGAGTGCGACGTCGGGACCAGTCTGTGCCCAAAATGCTGGGCGCACACGCAGCGCCGACAAGGAGCAGCAGACAACGACCGTCGGGAAGAAGGAGGCTACAGCCCAAACAGAGCCCTGGCGTAGGCTTAGTCAGCCAAACTGGCCGGAACTACCCGCGCCTGTGCCTGCCCCTAAACCAGCCGGCGCAAAGCAGCAGGGAAGCGAGAAGGGGCCCCGAAAAAAGACTCAAGGAGGCACACCACCACCACGCGGAGGCACACACCACCACCCGGATCCTCGAGAACCCGGCAAAGCCCACCGGTGAATGGAGGGTAGTCGCCAAGAAGTCGAGGGCAGCGCGCCGTGGACGACCCGATGCTGTCATCGTGCAAGCAAACGGCAAGTCTTACAGCGAGGTACTAGCTATGGTGACCAGGAGGGACGACAAGCAGTTGTCGGACCTGGGCGCCTGCGTCTCAAAGGTTTGGCGCACCAACAACGGCAACCTGCTCCTAGAGGTGGCTAAAGGGAGTGTTGAGAGCGCCGAGGAGATGAAGGAGAGCATCGAGAGGGTGCTCGGTGACTCCGCGACTGTGCGTGCGTCGACGGAGGACACGAAAGTGCTGGTTCTGGAGGTACGGAACATCGACTCTATCACCTCGAAGAAGGAGGTCTGTGCCGCTATTGCCGGCCAGTTCAACTTCGAGGCAGAACGGGTGAGAGTCCGGAGCATGCGCAGTGGCCGCTCAGAAACGCAGCTGGCGGTGGTCAGCCTGCCCGTCCCATTGGGCAAGGCAGTCCTTCAGTGCGGAGAGGTGCGAATCGGATGGTCAACCTGTAGGATCCGCGAAAGAACCGGCCCACCGAGGTGCTTCAGGTGCCTGGAAACCGGGCACATTGCGATCCACTGCAAGAACCCGGAATGCGGAGAGATGGGACACAAGGCGGCCGATTGTTCCAAGGAGCCATCGTGTTTCCTGTGCAAGGCGGCTGGTAGCAAGGAGACGAGGCACCAGGCAGGCGGCACGGGCTGCCCAGCCTCGAACAGAGGGAAAGGGAACCGTATGCCTGCATGCAGTTGATCCAAATTAACTTGAATCACTGCAGAGCGGCGCAGGACCTGCTTCTGCAGACGGTGAGCGAGGTAGCAGCGGACGTCGCTATACTTAGCGAACCATACAAGGCGAGGGAGGGAGGAGCATGGGCGAAGGACCGCTCCGGCAAGGCGGCCCTTTGGCTCTGTGGCGACGGACAGCGGCGGATGTCCAACATCCTTTCAGCCTATGGATTTGTGCGGGCGGAAGTCAGCGGCTTTTGCATTTACAGCTGCTACTTGGCCCCCAGTCTCCCGCTGGATGCATTCAGCAGGATCCTTGACAACCTATGCAGCGACATGCGTGGCAAGGCCAAGGTTGTAGTCGGAGGCGATTTCAACGCCTGGGCCCTCGAGTGGGGATCCGTCTCCACTAACGCCAGGGGACGCGCGGTGCTGGAGGCATTTGCCTCGACGGACGTAGTCCTCCTCAACGACGGGATGAGGCACACGTTTGCCAGAGCAGGAGCCGCCTCAATAATCGACCTGACCTTTGTGAGCAGCGCAATTTCACATGACGCCAGCTGGGGGGTCAGCGACGCTTACACCGGGAGCGACCACGAGGCGATCCTATGCACCATGGGTGCGCCGGAGGGGACCACCCGCACACTGCTGCGGCCCAGGAAAGCCTACCGGCCGGATACGCTGCGCACCCAGGCATTCGCCGACGCGCTGGACGGCATGTCAGCCGAGGCGCTGGGTGAAGCCAAAGAGGCTGCAAACCAGATCGCAGCCGCCCTGGAGCACGCCTGCGACCAGAGCATGCGGCTGAAAGGGACATGTCGGAGGAATCAAAGGCCAACATTCTGGTGGAGCGACGAGATAGCCGATCTCCGGTCAAAGTGCCTCCATGCTCGGAGGCAAATGACCCGGGCACGTGGCTCCTCTCGACTGGTCGAGTGCTGCGAAGCCTACAAGTCGGCCAGGAGGGCCCTAAAATTGGCCATTAGGGAAGCAAAGAGAGAGTGCTTTCTGCGGCTCTGCAACGAGGCGGAAAACGACCCCTGGGGCGGTGCCTACAGAATGGTGGTCAAAGGGCTGAAAGCTGGCAGCACGGCTCCTTCGGACCCGCAAGCTCTGGATTCCATAGTACAGGCTCTGTTTTCGAGGGAAGCCCCAGTGGTGATGACGCAGCCCAATGCAAAGCGCAACTTTCATGTCGACTGTGAGGTCTCCGAGGACGAGGTGATCCGGACGGGAAGGAGCGTTCGCCCCAAAAAGGCGCCTGGGCCGGACGCAGTACCTAACAGGGGCCCTGAAGCTGGCTATCGCGCTTCACCCAAAGGAGTTCGCCACCCTATACGCCAGATGCCTCCAGGAGGGTACATTTCCGGAGAGATGGAAGAGGCAAAAGCTCCTGCTGCTGGCTAAGCCAGGCAAACCACCTGGGGAGCCATCCTCCTACAGGCCTATCTGCCTTACCGACACCACTGGCAAGGTGTTCGAGAAGGTGATAGCAGCAAGGCTGAATGCCGCCATCGAGAGGGCAGGGGGCCTCTCTCCTAGCCAGTTTGGCTTTAGAAAGGGGAGGTCAACGCTGGACGCGATCGAGATGGTGAAGCAGATAGCGGAAACGGCGATCGCAGGAACAAGGTGGAAAGACGGCTCCAAAAATTACTGCTTAGTAGTCACGCTGGACGTAAGGAACGCCTTCAACACTGCCGACTGGAACCGGACGCTGGAGTCCCTCGCTGCGCTGAACATCCCAGGGTACCTACTGGAGATAGCTAGGAGCTATTTCAGCCAAAGGGTGCTCATTGTGGACACGGGTGTGGGTTCCAGAGTATACGAAGTCTCAGCCGGAGTCCCTCAGGGCTCTGTGTTGGGACCCCTGCTCTGGAATACCATGTACGATGGGGTTCTACGACTCCCGATGCCCAGCGACACCACTATCGTAGGCTTCGCCGACGACGTAGCGGTGGTGGTAGTTGCGAAGGAGCGCACGGCTGCAGAGATTAAGGCGAATGCTGCGATCAAGGCGATCGAATCGTGGCTCTCGAGCGCTGGTCTGGAGCTAGCGGCGCACAAGACGGAGGCGGTCCTCATTTCGAGCCGGAAAAAGGTGGAAACGGCCGAGATCCAGGTTGGCGGAGCCGTGATCGAGTCGCACACCAGCACCGGCACGCCGAGGCCGCCGACGGAGCGCGCCCTGGGCGGACAGCCCCAGCGAATCCTC